AGAATGACAAAGAGGGAAGAGGAATAGCTGGACAGGAGGCGGGAGCTGGGGAGCGGTAGGCAGGTGGAGCGGCCAAACCCGTGTGCTGAGAAGCGCCCAGACAGGCGGTAGAGCGGCCAGGCGCGACTCAGCTCCGCATCTCTACCCCGAGGTTAATGACCTCGTCAGCGCCCCCTCGTTCCAAGCCGCCCAATTACAACTCCTCGGGCTCCTTGATACTCTCCGATTAATTGGTGCGTCGTGCGGATGGAGGTGCCCCTCTGCCAGGGATCTAGCAGGGTTTCGCTGGATCGTTCGATAATTGTGGGAAGGAAGGTCGCATCCGGGGAGAGGAAACCCAGGGCTGGGAATGGGGTTAAGGGGAGGCTGGCGCCAGCGGCCCAGAGGGAGCAAGTGAACTGTTCAGGGACAGTCGAAGTAGTCGGGAGCACTGAGATCCAGAAACTAGGACCCACTCCCATTCTGAGCGAGAAATCAGGAGGAAGATGCTCACTCGGGAAGGGCGAGGGAGCCCGGCATGACGCCGGGCGGGACCCGGACTCTGTAGGTCCTCGTCACTGCTCTGTCTCGCGCGCCCAGATCCCGCTTGCGGCCAGGCGCTGGGTCCGCGTTTACTGTCGCTCCCTGCGCTGGTGGCTGGACAGAGCCTCTCCATCCCAGTCTACTTCTTTCCAGCCCTTGGCTTTGCGGGTCTGAGTGCGCACCGGTGTAACTGCGATCCCCTTTCGCCCCTTTAAGTGCCGCTTCCGGAAGCCGACTGGAGTGGAGAGCCGGCTTTCTAATCTCTCTGCTAGGCTCCCGCCTCCGGACTGCAGGGGCCCCAAGTCGGGCCCTCCCAGGCTTCCAGAGTCCACCCCCAGGCGCCAGCCGCGCGGCTGGTCTGTCTGCGGGTGGGTCTGGAGGCGCGCGCCAGGCTGAAGTGCCCCTGACCCTCCTCCGAAGGCCGCCTCAGCCGCTCGTGCTCAGCCACCTCCGGTCCCGCAGACCTCCTGTCCTCCCGCTCGCAGCGGGGAGGCAGTCGCGGAGCAGGCCCGCAGCTTGCACCGAGATCTTCACTCCAAGCCTAACGCCCAAAGCGAAGGTGCTCGCAGAGGAGCTCTGCGGGGTGCGCGCCGTCGGGACTAGGAAATCCTAGACCGAGGACTTGAGCATGTTCTTCGCAGTCGCAAGCAGGTCAGGAGTCCGCAGCAGAGCGACGCAGCGGTCTCCAACCCCTGGTCACGACTTCCTCGACCACTCTATCCCCCGTGAGACCTGGTCCCAAGGCAGTGACTGCTGTCTCCGCCAGGAACAAGCCAGGGGCCTATCAGCGCCCAGGAGGAGCCCAGAAGGGAGAAGGTTGCTGAGGGGAGCCACGTCCCCTCTGGTTCATGTTGGAGCCCAGGAGACCGGATCCAGGCCAAGGGGTGAACCGACTGAAGACGAGGTAAGAGGGGGTTTAATGAGTAGAAATTTGGACCCTCTCCCCTTTTATTGTTTTAAAGCATGAGGTATCTGGGCATTGACTTCTCTCTCCATAAAGGAGTTTCCGGAGTTCCGGCAGGTTCCTGCGGGTCTGCGCGCAAGGGGGAACTTTCCTGGGTAGTTGAGGCTTAGGAATTCATAGTGATTTTTGAAATCATTATTATTACTTAATATCCAGAGTATTTCGGACATCAGCCTCCACCTTCACTCCAGCCGAAATTCGGCAGTACTTCAGAAGAGGGGGGCTAGGAAGGAGTCAACTCAAACCAGCCGCCACATGGGCGATGGGGTAGGGGTAGTAGTGCTTCCGCCTTAATTATCCCTGCAAGGTAAAGGCTGTTGCTCCTATAACTGCAGCTGGAGAGAGGGCAGGAGGAGGTAGGGACGGAAGGTAGGCTGAGGGTGATCACTGGCTTCTTCTTGAGAAAGGAGGCATTTGAGTTCCAGGCACAACTTTTAGGACCTAAGTTTCCATTGCCCTTTGCTTTGTGCAGGCAGCGGTGACGAGATGAACACTGCCACCTGGGAGTCTTTAAAGGTGAAGTCTGACCTGGTAAGCACTGAGATCAGCTGAAGGAAAAAAGTCAAGTCCTGCATGGATCAACCATGCTGGATCTCAGGATTTTTTAAACACAGATTTCTCTGTCAGTCCAAATAGTTCTTCATCTGAGGCTCAAGGAGACTGAAAGCCTCTGAAATTGTGGGATTTCAGGGTTCAAGCCAGATGTTACTTTTTGAGAAGCACTGGGAGGAGAGAGAAGTAAGAGGAGGCAGAGGGAAAGGAGGTGAGAGGCCCCAAATCTAGCTCCTTAGATGCTGAGCTCTGAACCCCCAAGCTCTGAAACTCAAGCTGACTCCATCCACACTTTGCCAAATTGAAAAGTTGGGAGGCAGTCAAGGAGACAAATCTCTATGGCTTCCAGGATGAGTCTGGGTGTCTAAGTAGATTACAAATCTGGATATTGTCAAGATTTATTTTTTCCTTCTTTCAACTATTCCTGATTTTTGGCCCAGAGTAGGTTCTGGGGCCTTTGAAGCAGCTAGGCAGGAGAGAGACCTTGACCTCCAGTCCTCTGATCTCACCACTACCTGGTGAAGAGCCCAAGGTTCCACACCAGCAGGCAGGGGCAGAACTAAGCCTGCCCTAGGCCAAGGCTCAGCCAGTGGCTGGCCTTTCCCCATTCCTCCCAAGTCCCCAGCTCTCAGGACTCCTTTCTCTGTGAGCCAAGGCTTCCTGGCCAAACTGAAGACTCAGACTCCCTCCACATCTGGCCTCCCAAATAACAATGGCAATTTTTCTTCCCCCATTTTTTAAAATTGCAGAATCCCCAAATCCTTAGTTTCCCTTGAGGAAGATAGTGCCATTGGATCTTAGGGTGGGAATGGTGGGTGGTAGAATCAAATAACCTCTAAGCCTGGGAGGGCAGGGTCTACTATGACTTGGGGGTTTCAATCACAGTTCTCGGTAAAACGTGTCAAATATTCACAGCTTCCCCTCTCCGTCCCTACCCTCCAAGCCCAGAAAAGCCAGGGATTTTCTGTCTATGTTTGGAGAGAGAGAGAAGACAAAACCTAAAAGTAAGAGACAGAGATGAGGGAGGAGAAAATGAGGAAGAGAATCCAACAGATTAAAACAACAAAACTTTCTTTCTGACCCAACAGCACCTGAAGCCTAATATGTATTTTAATCTGGCCAGGAAGAGAAGTTGGAAGTATGGTGGGTAGGGAACTTAGCTCCTAGCCCAAGGAATGCTTCTGTTGTCCTGGGGTCAGTTGTAGAGGTGGGAGGAATGTCCTAGGTCTTTCAAATTGCAGTGTGGGAGAGTGAGGCTCTTCCTAAGGGCTTCTGAGGTCTCCCCACAGCACCTTGTCTGGGCTAGAAAAGCCTTTCCTCCCATTTCCTCTGGGGCAGTGTGTATGTGTATGTGTGTGTGTGTGTGTGTGTGTGTGTGTGTGTGTGTGTGTGTGGTGGGGCTGCAGTTCTAAACCTCCGCAGAGGGCAGGCAGCTCCCTTCCTGGGGTGCCCAGGGTTATATGTTTGGAAGTGGAGGAGGCTTCATCTCTTCTGGACTGGAGGAGTGGGAAAGCATCTTTGGACTTGGAGCCAAGTGCTCCAGACTCTAGGAAAGGGAGAAGCTGCAGCTCCAAAGGGAGATTTGGAGGGAAAAGCATATTAGGAAAAGCTCAGACTCTCTTCCTCAAAGGATTAGGGACCTGCACTGAGAACGGGGAACTTCCACTCACATCCTCTCCATTATGGATCTTTGTGCCTCTATTTATACTGAAAACCACAGATGTGTACAGTAAGTTGCCACATTCAGTGTCTATGGAGTATGTGAAATATTCTGCGCATTGTTCTACTTTGGGATTTGGGTGGGGGGGGTGGCATGTAGGTGAAAGTATTAATTTCCCAATCTGCTACCTTTATTACTGAGCAGAGCTGCGTGTACATAACTTCGTGTCTCTTTTGCATGTCTGTAGGAATCCTCAATCTTTATACAGTGCTTAACTACTCTGAGAGGCACATTTGCTCTCATGGGGGATTCCTCACTGACCCCTGCGGATTATTAATTCTTTGGAGACCCCACAATACCCACGATGGCGGATACACACCCCGTTATGCTTACTTCTGTTCACATGCCTTTTCAAAGGTGAATAATTTTTGTATTGAGGCAAATGTCAGTCCATACAGATTGAGATACTTTTCCTGCTTCCTGCCCACTCCCATACACAACAGACCTCTCTATAAAAATGCACGTGCAGCGTTTTAGTGAGTGTGAGTTTCAAGTAAGATGGCGGCGCCTGGCATCTCTTCAGATTCAGATGCACGCTGGGCCACCACCGCATAGTCCGTAGGGGAAGGAAACCTACCTCCCTTTGCTGCCCCAAAAGGCCAAAGAGACTCCTCCCCATCCCCTCCAAGGGTAACAACGGGGGTGGGGGGGAGAGAGAGAGAGAGAGAGAGAGAAAGAACACTGATTGATTCTGCACCTCGTCTGGACCCAGGCCAGTTTCTAATTTCTATCGGAAGAGTGGCCATTTTCCCTTTCCAAGCGATTCTTCCATTCTTCGCCCCCTACCCCGCCCCAGGCAGCTCAGGGCAGCTGCCCCTGTCTCTGGCTACATCCACGTGGAATCCAGGATTGAGACCAGGAACACCAGGAGGAGAGGGCCTCGGGCTGGGCGAGGCACTCAGCACCGGGCTCTGGGGAGCCAGAGTTGCGGACGGAACGAGGGAGGCGACCCTCTTCTCGCATACACACACTTTCTCTTGGAGAGGAAGGGTCGGGAGCCAGCGAGCAGGGAGGTCAAGGCGTTTCGGGTGCGCCCTGAGGCCGCACTAGGAAGCTGAATCGGTCTGGAGATCAAGGTTATGCTAGTGGCCCTGGGCAGTCCACGCCCGCCACGGCCAGCCAGTCCTCAACGCTCGGGCCAAGGAGGCCTTCAGCCCGGAGAGGGGTTTTTCGCCGCAGCTCTGATCAGCGTGGTCGCGGCCCCCCGGCGGAGAGAGGAAGGGCTGCGGCCGCCTCACCTACCTGTCGGAACCGCGCCGTCCTCCGTGCGTCTTCGTCTTCGTAGCCTGCAGGAACCCGAGGCGTCTGGGGACCGAGGTGACCGCGCCCAGGGCGAGGGGCGAGGCGGCTCCGTGTGGCCTGCCCGCCCCCACCCCTTTGAGGCCTCTCGGGGGAGTGTCTGTGTCTGGGGCGGCGACGCCCAGGGCGCTAGTTGCGTGAAGGGGCTCTCGCGACCTGCGTCCCCCTGGCGCCGGTGAGTTGGGGGCGAGGACGCGGCCCGGGCGGCGGATTGGCGCCGGCGCTTCCTTCCTCCGCGTCTGCCCGGGCGGGGCTGCCGCCCGTCTCACCTGCCGCAGCCCTGGGGCGCCGTCGGGTCGCCGCGCGGCGGTTCCGAGGATGGGCCTCGAGCGCTTCCGAAAGGCCAGAGCCGCGGAGGAACGGCGCCGAGATGGCCAGCAGAGAAAGAGGGGTGTGTGTGTGAGTGAGAGAAGGGGGGGGAGAATGGGGTTGGTGGTGGGGGCAGGGAGAAAGAGAGAGAGAGAATAACAGACAAGAGAGAAGCAGATTCAAGGAACGCTCCCAGAGAAACCATCAAGTGCAGAAACAGACAAAAGAAGCAGAGGAGAAAGCAGAATTCGGGGGACAAAAAGAAGCCCTGGGCGTCTGGAGAGAGCGACAAGTTGTCCTTGGGAGTTGGAAATGTGAGAGGGAGGGGCGAGGCCGAAAGAGTCTGAGAAGGGGAGGAGGCACGCAGACCCTGAGCGACAACCCATCCACGTTTAGGACACAGAATCCCAAGAATGAGAGCGCGGGACCCTCCCCCTGCCCTGTTGCAGCCGGTCTCAGGCTCCAGACTTCCCGCCCTCCTGCTCCTGTCTGCGGCTCGGTCCCGCCTGGAGGGCGGCACCAGGCTGAAGGCTGTCCCTCTAACCACCTCCTTTCTTCTGTTCCCTGGGCCTTCAATGGGGTGTTTCCCGAATGGAGGAACAAGACAAGTGAGGCCAGAGAGAATGACCTTGGCCAAGGTCAAAGGAAGAGCTTCGAAATTTCACTTTCCATCCCAGCCCTGGGGACCCGATTGCGTTTTTGGCCCTTCGGGTCATTAGGGTGTTATCCTGAAACTACTGGCTCTTCTTTTTATTTCTCTCTGAGACCCAAAAGGAAGTTCCGACTTGCCTACCATCAGTGGAACTAGGAAGAGCTGTCAGAGTTCCAGCCTTTGTGACTGCTAGCCGGCTGGTCTCCAAGTAGTTGCCCCACCTGCCAGACCTTAGACCTGAGACCTTCCTCCTCAGCCCGCAGGGCACTGGGGACAGACGTAATCCAGCCACTTCCTGCAAGTGGTTGTCCAGACGCGGGTCGGAGTGTGTCTGAGATCTGTGTTCTGGGCTTGGCCCTGCCATTGACTTATTGTGGGACCTGAAGTCCTTGTCCTCTTTAGGTCTCAGTGTTTGTCCTCTGTAAAATGGGCAGAGCGATTTATGTTTTGCTTCTGCAGTCTCCCATTTGCAGATCCTGGTAAGCTTGAACTGTTGAGAGAAAAATATATCTAAATGGTGATTTTATTCTATATCCACTGAGGTATGAATGCTGAAAAACGACAAAATTAAGCTTTGCTTCCATAAATGGGCCTGCTTTTTTATTTTTATTTTCTTCACTTTTCAGTGATATATAATATATGTGCAGAAAAGATCCTAATATTAAGGGTATTGGTTCAATGTATTTCTACATATGTACACATCTATGTAACCACAACCTAGATCAAGGTATTTTCAAACATCAGAAGGCTCCCCTGTAATCCTAGCACTCTGGGAGGCGGAGGCGGGCGACTTGCTGGAGATCAGGAGTTCGAAACCAGCCTGAGCAAGAGTGAGACCCTTCTCTACTATAAATAGAAAGAAATTAATTGGCCAACTAATATATATAGAAAAAATTAGCCGGGCATGGTGGCGCATGCCTGTACTCCCAGCTACTCGGGAGGCTGAGGCAGCAGGATTGCTTGAGCCCAGGAGTTTGAGGTTGCTGTGAGCTAGGCTGACACCACGGCACTCACTCTAGCCTGGGCAACAAAGCAAGACTCTGTCTCAAAAAACAAAAAAAGAAGGCTCCCTTGTAACTCCTTCCAGTCAATAAGTCAATTGTGCGTGCACACACACACACACACACACACACACACACACACACACACACAGGCCAGTAACCTTTATTCTGTTTTCTATTACCATAGATTAGTTTTGTCTATCCTCAACTTTATATAAACAAAGTCATGAGTACATATTCTTTTTGTTGGCTTCACCTGCTTAATATTTATGTGTGTGGGACCCATCCATGCTGCAGTATATGGTAGTAGTTTGCTCATTTTATTGCTGTGCCACCTCCCATTGTATGAGTATAGCACCATGTATTTAGCTGTTCAGCTCCCGGTGGATTTTTGAATTGTTTTTAGTTTGGAGCTATTACCAAAAATTGCTATGAACATTTGTGTTTGTGTCTTTTGATGGATCCAGGAGTGGAAATGCTGGATCATAGGGTAGGGATATGTTTATCTTTGCTAAATACTAACAGCTTTCCAAAGCGTGTGACCAATTTACACTCCCACCAGTAAGGTATGAGAAATCCAGCTAATTCATACTTATAACAACACCTGATATTGTCTGTCTTGTTCATTCTGATGGGTTTATAGTGTTCTTGCAATGTGCGTTGTTGCTGTTGTTGTTGCTTGCTTGGAGTGTTTTGTGCATTAAAAAAATTGTGGTAAAAACACCTAACAAAATTTACTGTCTTAACATTTTAAGTGTATGGTTCAGTAGTGCTAAGTACAATCAAATTATTGTGCCACAGTTCTCAAGAACTTTTCCATCTTGCAAAACTGAGACTGGATACACACTGAGCAACAACTCCCCATTCTCCCCTTCTCCCAGCACCTAGCAACCACCTTTTACTTTGTTTCCATGAGTTTAAATACTTTAGATACCATCTATAAGTGGAATCATACTGTATTTGTGTTTTTCTGACTGATTTATTTTACTTAGTATAATGTGTTCAAAGTTCATCTATGTTTTACCATGTGGCAGGATTTCCTTCTTTTTTTTTAAGGGTGTAATATTCCATTATATTTATATACCACATTTTGTTTATCCATTCCTCCACTGATGGACACTTAGGTTGCTTCCACCTCTTGGCTATCATGAATAATGGTGCAATGAATATGATTGTGCAAATATCTCTTCAAGATCCTGCATTCAATTCCTTTGTGTATATGCCCAGAAATGGTATTGATGGATCATATGGTAATACCATTTAAAAATTTTTTTTAAATAGGGTCTTGCTCTGTTGCCTGGGCTAGAGTACAATGGTGTTGACATAGCTCACTTCAACCTCAAACTCCTGGGCTCAAGCAATCCTCCTGCCTAAGCCTCCTGAATAGCTGGGACTATAGGCACATGCCGCCAAGCCTGGCTAATTTTTCTATTTTTTTGTAGAGATGGAGTATCTCTTTTGCTCAGGCTGGTCTCGAACTTCTGACCTCAAGCAATCTTCCCACCTCAGCCTCCCAAAGTGCTAGGGTGATGGGTGTGAGCCACTGAACCTGTCCTATTTTTAATTTTTTGAGGAATCTCCATACTGTTTTCCATAATAGCTGCACCAACAGTGCACATTTTATGTGTTCCATAAACATAAAATAGAGTTCCAATTTCTCCACATCCCTGCCAACACTTGTTATTTTTTGTTTTATTAACAGTGACTATCCTAATGAATATGAGGTGATAGCTCATTGTAGTTTTAATTTGCATTCTTTGATGACCAGTGAAGTTGAGTGGGCTCTGCTTCACAGAGCACACAATGGAGACAAGACAAAGAGGAAGCCAGAGGCACCTCAGAAAGTGTCCTGGGGGCCCTGGAAGGGCACTTACCTTGGGCAGGAGCAGGGGGGCCCAAGAAGAGGAGAATCTTTCATTCATTTAAAATATATGTATTGAAAATATATCCATTTAAAGTATATTTACTCTTCAATATAGATTTCTTGAGTATCTACTATGAATCAGACATTGTGCCTTTTTCCTTTTATTTTTAGTTGAAACATAATAATTACATATTTGTGGGATACAGAGTGATATTTCCATATGTGTATATGCAATGCATAATGATCAAGTCAATGCAATTAGCATATCACCTCCAACATTTATCATTTTTCTGTGTTGTGAATATTCTATATCTTCACTTCTAGCCTTTTGAAAATACATAATAAATTGTAATTATCACATTCACCCTACAGTGCTACAGAATACCAGAAGCATCGTGCCTTTTGAAAGTTTGTGTGTGTTTTAAAATATCTTTTACTTTCCCCCCAAAGTATATATTTAATGTTGCAACAAGTAAAAATAAAATGAAACAAAATACAACTTGTGAAAGATGAATAAAAGTAGGGCTAATTATCTTTACTCCTCACAGGTTACCTATGTTAGCAGCCTGGTGTATTTTTCCCATACCTTTCCCACCTTGCTTTTATAAACATGAACCATACACACAGAATTTTTACTTGTTTGCCTACCTGTTTTTATAGAGATATGAATATACTATGTATAATATATAAACATTTCATAGAAATATGTGTATATATAACTTTACATATACATTACATATGTAACTATATGTTATATGTGTACTCTCTATATTATGCTTATATATATTACATATATAATATATATTACACAACTATAGATATAAAACTTTAGAGCCAGCTTGCTTTTAAGAGTTGGTCAAAAGGTATGTACATTTAAAATTTCAATGCCTGTTGCCAGAAAACTTTCTTAAAAGGTAACTCTTGTTTCTATCAATTATGTTTTTTATAGGTTATCATTTGTGCTGCTGTAATATAGAAAATTTCTTTTCATTTCATTTGCCTTTTCCTAAATATTGGGGAGGGTAGGCCATGTATCTTTTCATATTTCTATGAAAATATGCTTTTTTCGATGTGCTCTTTGTATATTTTCTTTTTAAAAACTTTTCCCTCTTTTGTACTGAGTTGTTGGTATTTTTCTTAGATATTTACAAAGTAAACCATGCATTCTGGTGGTCAACCCTTTAGCAGTTACCTGTATTGCTAATATATT